ATTTCAGTGGTCGCATTGGTTTCATTTTTGGTGTGCTTGTAGGGCGCTGGCACCCGCATTCAGTGACCCAGAAAATTTGGCACTGCTGTGGATAGTTTAGTCGCAAAGTGAAGATTCATGGGTAAAAAGCACCAAACTTCTAGATAAGTTCTTTTTCAGCTTTCAGCAGCCCTGGGTGAGTTCTTTAGAGAAATGTGGCTCTTTTTCATGGTGCTATTTTCTATGTCCAGCTACACAACGAGATGAGGATGGTCATTGCCATTTTCTGAGCTGCGAACGGGCAGAAAGGTGAGAAAATGTCGGATTTTGACCATTTGTGCTGACCTTTCAATTTCAACGTACCTCTCTATAACATGACCCAGCTGTAATTTCAGTGGTCGCATTGGTTTGATTTTTGGTTTGCTTTTAGGGCGCTGGCACCCGCATTCAGTGACTCAGAAAATTTCGCACTGCTGTGAATAGTTTAGTCGCAAAGTGAAGATTCACGGGTAAAAAGCCCCAAACTTCTAGATAGGTTCTTTTTCAGCTTTCAGCAGCCCTGGGTGAGTTCTTTAGAGAAATGTGGGTCTTTTTCTTCGTGCTCTTGTCTATGTCCAGCTACACAACGAGATGAGGATGGTCATTGTCATTTTCTGAGCTGCGAACGGGCAGAAAGGTGAGAAAATGTCGGATTTTGACCATTTGTGCTGACCTTTCAATTTCAACGTACCTCTCTATAACATGACCCAGCTGTAATTTCAGTGGTCGGATTGGTTTCATTTTTGGTTTGCTTGTAGGGCGCTGGCACCCGCATTCAGTGACCCAGAAAATTTGGCACTGCTGTGGATAGTTTATTCGCAAAGTGAAGATTCACGGGTAAAAAGCCCCAAACTTCTAGATAGGTTCTTTTTCAGCTTTCAGCAGCCCTGGGTGAGTTCTTTAGAGAAATGTGGCTCTTTTTCATGGTGCTATTTTCTATGTCCAGCTACACAACGAGATGAGGATGGTCATTGTCATTTTCTGAGCTGCCAACAGGCAGAAAGGTGAGAAAATGTCGGATTTTGACCATTTGTGCTGACCTTTCAATTTCAACGTACCTCTCTATAACATGACCCAGCTGCAATTTCAGAGGTCGCATTGGTTTCATTTTTGGTGTGCTTGTAGGGCGCTGGCACCCGCATTAAGTGACCCACAAAATTTGGCACTGCTGTGGATAGTTTAGTCGCAAAGTGAAGATTCACGGGTAAAAAGCACCAAACTTCTAGATAAGTTCTTTTTCAGCTTTCAGCAGCCCTGGGTGAGTTCTTTAGAGAAATGTGGGTCTTTTTCATGGTGCTATTTTCTATGTCCAGCTACACAACGAGATGAGGATGGTCATTGTCATTTTCTGAGCTGCGAACGGGCAGAAAGGTGAGAAAATGTCGGATTTTGACCATTTGTGCTGACCTTTCAATTTCAACGTACCTCTCTATAACATGACCCAGCTGTAATTTCAGTGGTCGCATTGGTTTGATTTTTGGTTTGCTTGTAGGGCGTTGGCACCCGCATTCAGTGACCCAGAAAATTTGGCACTGCTGTGAATAGTTTAGTCGCAAAGTGAAGATTCACGGGTAAAAAGCCCCAAACTTCAAGATAGGTTCTTTTTCAGCTTTCAGCAGCCCTGGGCGAGTTCTTTAGAGAAATGTGGGTCTTTTTCTTGGTGCTCTTGTCAATGTCCAGCTACACAACGAGATGAGGATGGTCATTGTCATTTTCTGAGCTGCGAACGGGCAGAAAGGTGAGAAAATGTCGGATTTTGACCATTTGTGCTGACCTTTCCATTTCAACGTACCTCTCTATAACATGACCCAGCTGTAATTTCAGTGGTCGCATTGGTTTGATTTTTGGTTTGCTTGTAGGGCGCTGTCAGTCGCATTCAGTGCCCCAGAAAATTTGGCACTGCTGTGGATAGTTTAGTCGCAAAGTGAAGATTCACGGGTAAAAAGCCCCAAACTTCTAGATAGGTTCTTTTTCAGCTTTCAGCAGCCCTGGGTGAGTTCTTTAGAGAAATGTGGCTCTTTTTCATGGTGCTATTTTCTATGTCCAGCTACACAACGAGATGAGGATGGTCATTGTCATTTTCTGAGCTGCGAACGGGCAGAAAGGTGAGAAAATGTCGGATTTTGACCATTTGTGCTGACCTTTCAATTTCAACGTACCTCTCTATAACATGACCCAGCTGTAATTTCAGAGGTCGCATTGGTTTCATTTTTGGTTTGCTTGTAGGGCGCTGGCACCCGCATTCAGTGACCCAGAAAATATGTCACTGCTGTGGATAGTTTAGTCGCAAAGTGAAGATTCACGGGTAAAAAGCCCCAAACTTCTAGATAAGTTCTTTTTCAGCTTTCAGCAGCCCTGGGTGAGTTCTTTAGAGAAATGTGGCTCTTTTTCATGGTGCTATTTTCTATGTCCAGCTACACAACGAGATGAGGATGGTCATTGTCATTTTCTGAGCTGCGAACGGGCAGAAAGGTGAGAAAATGTCGGATTTTGACCATTTGTGCTGACCTTTCAATTTCAACGTACCTCTCTATAACATGACCCAGCTGTAATTTCAGTGGTCGCATTGGTTTGATTTTTGGTTTGCTTGTAGGGCGCTGTCACCCGCATTCAGTGCCCCAGAAAATTTGGCACTGCTGTGGATAGTTTAGTCGCAAAGTGAAGATTCACGGGTAAAAAGCCCCAAACTTCTAGATAGGTTCTTTTTCAGCTTTCAGCAGCCCTGTGTGAGTTCTGTAGAGAAATGTGGCTCTTTTTAGTGGTGCTAATTTCTATGTCCAGCTGCACAACGAGATGAGGATGGTCATTGTCATTTTCTGAGCTGCGAACGGGCAGAAAGGTGAGAAAATGTCGGATTTTGACCATTTGTGCTGACCTTTCAATTTCAACGTACCTCTCTATAACATGACCCAGCTGTAATTTCAGTGGTCGCATTGGTTTTATTTTTGGTTTGCTTGTAGGGCGCTGGCACCCGCATTCATTGACCCAGAAAATTTGCCACTGCTGTGAATAGTTTAGTCGCAAAGTGAAGATTCACGGGTAAAAAGCCCCAAACTTCTAGATAGGTTCTTTTTCAGCTTTCAGCAGCCCTGGGCGAGTACTTTAGAGATATGTGGCTCTTTTTTATGGTGCTATTTTCTATGTCCAGCTACACAACGAGATGAGGATGGTCATTGTCATTTTCTGAGCTGCGAACGGGCAGAAAGGTGAGAAAATGTCGGATTTTGACCATTTGTGCTGACCTTTCAATTTCAACGTACCTCTCTATAACATGACCCAGCTGTAATTTCAGTGGTCGCATTGGTTTGATTTTTGGTTTGCTTGTAGGGCGCTGGCACCCGCATTCAGTGACCCAGAAAATTTGGCACTGCTGTGGATAGTTTAGTCGCAAAGTGAAGATTCACGGGTAAAAAGCCCCAAACTTCAAGATAGGTTCTTTTTCAGCTTTCAGCAGCCCTGGGCGAGTTCTTTAGAGAAATGTGGGTCTTTTTCTTGGTGTTCTTGTCTATGTTCAGCTACACAACGAGATGAGGATGGTCATTGTCATTTTTGAGCTGCGAACGGGCAGAAAGGTGAGAAAATGTCGGATTTTGACCATTTGTGCTGACCTTTCAATTTCAACGTACCTCTCTATAACATGACCCAGCTGTAATTTCAGTGGTCGCATTGGTTTCATTTTTGGTGTGCTTGTAGGGCGCTGGCACCCGCATTCAGTGACCCAGAAAATTTGGCACTGCTGTGAATAGTTCAGTCGCAAAGTGAAGATTCACGGGTAAAAAGCCCCAAACTTCTAGATAGGTTCCTTTTCAGCTTTCAGCAGCCCTGGGCGAGTACTTTAGAGAAATGTGGCTCTTTTTCATGGTGCTCTTGTCTATGTCCAGCTACACAACGAGATGAGGATGGTCATTGTCATTTTCTGAGCTGCGAACGGGCAGAAAGGTGAGAAAATGTCGGATTTTGACCATTTGTGCTGACCTTTCAATTTCAACGTACCTCTCTATAACATGACCCAGCTGTAATTTCAGTGGTCGCATTGGTTTCATTTTTGGTTTGCTTGTAGGGCGCTGGCACCCGCATTCTGTGACCCAGAAAATATGGCACTGCTGTGGATAGTTTAGTCGCAAAGTGAAGATTCACGGGTAAAAAGCCCCAAACTTCTAGATAAGTTCTTTTTCAGCTTTCAGCAGCCCTGGGTGAGTATTTTAGAGAAATGTGGCTCTTTTTCATGGTGGTATTTTCTATGTCCAGCTACACAACGAGATGAGGAAGGGTCAATGTCCTTTTCTGAGCTGCGAACGGGCAGAAAGGTGAGAAAATGTCGGATTTTGACCATTTGTGCTGACCTTTCAATTTCAACGTACCTCTCTATAACATGACCCAGCTGTAATTTCAATGGTCGCATTGGTTTGATTTTTGGTTTGCTTGTAGGGCGCTGGCACCCGCATTCAGTGACCCAGAAAATTTGGCACTGCTGTGGATAGTTTAGTCGCAAAGTGAAGATTCACGGGTAAAAAGCCCCAAACTTCTAGATAGGTTCTTTTTCAGCTTTCAGCAGCCCTGGGTGAGTTCTGTAGAGAAATGTGGCTCTTTTTAGTGGTGCTAATTTCTATGTCCAGCTGCACAACGAGATGAGGATGGTCAATGTCATTTTCTGAGCTGCGAACGGGCAGAAAGGTGAGAAAATATCGGATTTTCACCATTTGTGCTGACCTTTCAATTTCAACGTACCTCTCTATAACATGACCCAGCTGTAATTTCAGTGGTCGCATTGGTTTCATTTTTGGTTTGCTTGTAGGGCGCAGGCACCCGCATTCAGTGACCCAGAAAATTTGGCACTGCTGTGAATAGTTTAGTCGCAAAGTGAAGATTCACGGGTAAAAAGCCCCAAACTTCTAGATAGGTTCTTTTTCAGCTTTCAGCAGCCCTGGGCGAGTTCTTTAGAGAAATGTGGCTCTTTTCTTGGTGCTCTTGTCTTTGTCCAGCTAACCAACGAGATGAGGATGGTCATTGTCATTTTCTAAGCTGCGAACGGGCAGAAAGGTGAGAAAATGTCGGATTTTGACCATTTGTGCTGACCTTTCAATTTCAACATACCTCTCTATAACATGACCCAGCTGTAATGCCATCGGTCGCATTGGTTTGATTTTTGGTTTGCTTGTAGGGCGCTGGCACCCGCATTCAGTGACCCAGAAAATTTGGCAATGCTGTGAATAGTTTAGTCGCAAAGTGAAGATTCACGGGTAAAAAGCCCCAAACTTCGAGATAGGTTCTTTTTCAGCTTTCAGCAGCCCTGGGCGAGTTCTTTAGAGAAATGTGGGTCTTTTTCTTGGTGCTCTTGTCTATGTCCAGCTACAGAATGAGAAGAGGATGGTCATTGTCATTTTCTGAGCTGCGAACGGGCAGAAAGGTGAGAAAATGTCGGATTTTGACCATTTGTGCTGACCTTTCCATTTCAACGTACCTCTCTGTAACATGACCCAGCTGTAATTTCAGTGGTCGCATTGGTTTGATTTTTGGTTTGCTTGTAGGGCGCTGTCACCCGCATTCAGTGCCCTAAAAAATTTGGCACTGCTGTGGATAGTTTAGTCGCAAAGTGAAGATTCACGGGTAAAAAGCCCCAAACTTCTAGATAGGTTCTTTTTCAGCTTTCAGCAGCCCTGGGTGAGTTCTTTAGAGAAATGTGGCTCTTTTTCATGGTGCTATTTTCTTGTGTCCAGCTACACAACGAGATGAGGATGGTCATTGTCATTTTCTGAGCTGCGAACGGGCAGAAAGGTGAGAAAATGTCGGATTTTGACCATTTGTGCTGACCTTTCAATTTCAACGTACCTCTCTATAACATGACCCAGCTGCAATTTCAGTGGTCGCATTGGTTTCATTTTTGGTGTGCTTGTAGGGCGCTGGCACCCGCATTCAGTGACCCAGAAAATTTGGCACTGCTGTGGATAGTTTAGTCGCAAAGTGAAGATTCACGGGTAAAAAGCCCCAAACTTCTAGATAAGTTCTTTTTCAGCTTTCAGCAGCCCTGGGTGAGTTCTTTAGAGAAATGTGGCTCTTTTTCATGGTGCTATTTTCTATGTCCAGCTACACAACGAGATGAGGATGGTCATTGTCATTTTCTGAGCTGCGAACGGGCAGAAAGGTGAGAAAATGTCGGATTTTGACCATTTGTGCTGACCTTTCAATTTCAACGTACCTCTCTATAACATGACCCAGCTGTAATTTCAGTGGTCGCATTGGTTTGATTTTTGGTTTGCTTGTAGGGCGCTGGCACCCGCATTCAGTGACCCAGAAAATTTGGCACTGCTGTGGATAGTTTAGTCGCAAAGTGAAGATTCACGGGTAAAAAGCCCCAAACTTCTAGATAGGTTCCTTTTCAGCTTTCAGCAGCCCTGGGCGAGTACTTTAGAGAAATGTGGCTCTTTTTCATGGTGCTATTTTCTATGTCCAGCTACACAACGAGATGAGGATGGTCATTGTCATTTTCTGAGCTGCGAACGGGCAGAAAGGTGAGAAAATGTCGGATTTTGACCATTTGTGCTGACCTTTCAATTTCAACGTACCTCTCTATAACATGACCCAGCTGTAATTTCAGTGGTCGCATTGGTTTCATTTTTGGTTTGCTTGTAGGCCGCTGGCACCCGCATTCAGTGACCCAGAAAATATGGCACTGCTGTGGATAGTTTAGTCGCAAAGTGAAGATTCACGGGTAAAAAGCCCCAAACTTCTAGATAAGTTCTTTTTCAGCTTTCAGCAGCCCTGGGTGAGTTCTTTAGAGAAATGTGGCTCTTTTTCATGGTGCTATTTTCTATGTCCAGCTACACAACGAGATGAGGATGGTCATTGTCATTTTCTGAGCTGCGAACGGGCAGAAAGGTGAGAAAATGTCGGATTTTGACCATTTGTGCTGACCTTTCAATTTCAACGTACCTCTCTATAACATGACCCAGCTGTAATTTCAGTGGTCGCATTGGTTTGATTTTTGGTTTGCTTGTAGGGCGCTGGCACCCGCATTCAGTGACCCAGAAAATTTGGCACTGCTGTGGATAGTTTAGTCGCAAAGTGAAGATTCACGGGTAAAAAGCCCCAAACTTCTAGATAGGTTCTTTTTCAGCTTTCAGCAGCCCTGAGCGAGTACTTTAGAGATATGTGGCTCTTTTTCATGGTGCTATTTTCTATGTCCAGCTACACAACGAGATGAGGATGGTCATTGTCATTTTCTGAGCTGCGAACGGGCAGAAAGGTGAGAAAATGTCTGATTTTGACCATTTGTGCTGACCTTTCAATTTCAACGTACCTCTCTATAACATGACCCAGCTGTAATTTCAGTGGTCGCATTGGTTTGATTTTTGGTTTGCTTGTAGGGCGCTGGCACCCGCATTCAGTGACCCAGAAAATTTGGCACTGCTGTGGATAGTTTAGTCGCAAAGTGAAGATTCACGGGTAAAAAGCCCCAAACTTCAAGATAGGTTCTTTTTCAGCTTTCAGCAGCCCTGGGTGAGTTCTTTAGAGAAATGTGGGTCTTTTTCTTGGTGTTCTTGTCTATGTCCAGCTACACAACGAGATGAGGATGGTCATTGTCATTTTCTGAGCTGCGAACGGGCAGAAAGGTGAGAAAATGTCGGATTTTGACCATTTGTGCTGACCTTTCAATTTCAACGTACCTCTCTATAACATGACCCAGCTGTAATTTCAGTGGTCGCATTGGTTTCATTTTTGGTGTGCTTGTAGGGCGCTGGCACCCGCATTCAGTGACCCAGAAAATTTGGCACTGCTGTGAATAGTTCAGTCGCAAAGTGAAGATTCACGGGTAAAAAGCCCCAAACTTCTAGATAGGTTCCTTTTCAGCTTTCAGCAGCCCTGGGCGAGTACTTTAGAGAAATGTGGCTCTTTTTCATGGTGCTCTTGTCTATGTCCAGCTACAGAACGAGATGAGGATGGTCATTGTCATTTTCTGAGCTGCGAACGGGCAGAAAGATGAGAAAATGTCGGATTTTGACCATTTGTGCTGACCTTTCAATTTCAACGTACCTCTCTATAACATGACCCAGCTGTAATTTCAGTGGTCGCATTGGTTTCATTTTTGGTTTGCTTGTAGGGCGCTGGAACCCGCATTCAGTGACCCAGAAAATATGGCACTGCTGTGGATAGTTTAGTCGCAAAGTGAAGATTCACGGGTAAAAAGCCCCAAACTTCTAGATAAGTTCTTTTTCAGCTTTCAGCAGCCCTGGGTGAGTTCTTTAGAGAAATGTGGCTCTTTTTCATGGTGCTATTTTCTATGTCCAGCTACACAACGAGATGAGGAAGGGTCATTGTCATTTTCTGAGCTGCGAACGGGCAGAAAGGTGAGAAAATGTCTGATTTTGACCATTTGTGCTGACCTTTCAATTTCAACGTACCTCTCTATAACATGACCCAGCTGTAATTTCAGTGGTCGCATTGGTTTCATTTTTGGTGTGCTTGTAGGGCGCTGGCACCCGCATTCAGTGACCCAGAAAATTTGGCACTGCTGTGAATAGTTCAGTCGCAAAGTGAAGATTCACGGGTAAAAAGCCCCAAACTTCTAGATAGGTTCCTTTTCAGCTTTCAGCAGCCCTGGGCGAGTACTTTAGAGAAATGTGGCTCTTTTTCATGGTGCTCTTGTCTATGTCCAGCTACACAACGAGATGAGGATGGTCATTGTCATTTTCTGAGCTGCGAACGGGCAGAAAGATGAGAAAATGTCGGATTTTGACCATTTGTGCTGACCTTTCAATTTCAACGTACCTCTCTATAACATGACCCAGCTGTAATTTCAGTGGTCGCATTGGTTTCATTTTTGGTTTGCTTGTAGGGCGCTGGCACCCGCATTCAGTGACCCACAAAATTTGGCACTGCTGTGGATAGTTTAGTCGCAAAGTGAAGATTCACGGGTAAAAAGCCCCAAACTTCTAGATAAGTTCTTTTTCAGCTTTCAGCAGCCCTGGGTGAGTTCTTTAGAGAAATGTGGCTCTTTTTCATGGTGCTATTTTCTATGTCCAGCTACACAACGAGATGAGGAAGGGTCATTGTCATTTTCTGAGCTGCGAACGGGCAGAAAGGTGAGAAAATGTCTGATTTTGACCATTTGTGCTGACCTTTCAATTTCAACGTACCTCTCTATAACATGACCCAGCTGTAATTTCAGTGGTCGCATTGGTTTGATTTTTGGGTTGCTTGTAGGGCGCTGGCACCCGCATTCAGTGACCCAGAAAATTTGGCACTGCTGTGGATAGTTTAGTCGCAAAGTGAAGATTCACGGGTAAAAAGCCCCAAACTTCTAGATAGGTTCTTTTTCAGCTTTCAGCAGCCCTGTGTGAGTTCTGTAGAGAAATGTGGCTTTTTTAGTGGTGCTAATTTCTATGTCCAGCTGCACAACGAGATGAGGATGGTCAATGTCATTTTCTGAGCTGCGAACGGGCAGAAAGGTGAGAAAATGTCGGATTTTGACCATTTGTGCTGACCTTTCAATTTCAACGTACCTCTCTATAACATGACCCAGCTGTAATTTCAGTGGTCGCATTGGTTTCATTTTTGGTTTGCTTGTAGGGCGCAGGCACCCGCATTCAGTGACCCAGAAAATTTGGCACTGCTGTGAATAGTTTAGTCGCAAAGTGAAGATTCACGGGTAAAAAGCCCCAAACTTCTAGATAGGTTCTTTTTCAGCTTTCAGCAGCCCTGGGCGAGTTCTTTAGAGAAATGTGGCTCTTTTCTTGGTGCTCTTGTCTTTGTCCAGCTAACCAACGAGATGAGGATGGTCATTGTCATTTTCTAAGCTGCGAACGGGCAGAAAGGTGAGAAAATGTCGGATTTTGACCATTTGTGCTGACCTTTCAATTTCAACATACCTCTCTATAACATGACCCAGCTGTAATGCCATCGGTCGCATTGGTTTCATTTTTGGTTTGCTTGTAGGGCGCTGTCACCCACAGTCAGTGACCCTAAAAATTTGGCACTGCTGTGAATAGTTTATTCGCAAAGTGAAGATTCACGGGTAAAAAGCCCCAAACTTCTAGATAGGTTCTTTTTCAGCTTTCAGCAGCCCTGGGCGAGTTCTTTAGAGAAATGTGGGTCTTTTTCTTGGTGCTCTTGTCTATGTCCAGCTACACAACGAGATGAGGATGGTCATTGTCATTTTCTGAGCTGCGAACGGGCAAAAAGGTGAGAAAATGTCGGATTTTGACCATTTGTGCTGACCTTTCAATTTCAACGTACCTCTCTATAACATGACCCAGCTGCAATATCAGTGGTCGCATTGGTTTGATTTTTGGTTTGCTTGTAGGGCGCTGGCACCCGCATTCAGTGACCCAGAAAATTTGGCACTGCTGTGGATAGTTTAGTCGCAAAGTAAAGATTCACGGGTAAAAAGCCCCAAACTTCTAGATAGGTTCTTTTTCAGCTTTCAGCAGCCCTGGGCGAGTTCTTTAGAGAAATGTGGCTCTTTTTCATGGTGCTATTTTCTATGTCCAGCTACACAACGAGATGAGGATGGTCATTGTCATTTTCTGAGCTGCGAACGGGCAGAAAGGTGAGAAAATGTCGGATTTTGACCATTTGTGCTGACCTTTCAATTTCAACGTACCTCTCTATAACATGACCCAGCTGTAATTTCAGTGGTCGCATTGGTTTGATTTTTGGTTTGCTTGTAGGGCGCTGGCACCCGCATTCAGTGACCCAGAAAATTTGGCAATGCTGTGAATAGTTTAATCGCAAAGTGAAGATTCACGGGTAAAAAGCCCCAAACTTCAAGATAGGTTCTTTTTTCAGCTTTCAGCAGCCCTGGGCGAGTTCTTTAGAGAAATGTGGGTCTTTTTCTTTGTGCTCTTGTCTATGTCGAGCTACAGAACGAGATGAGGATGGTCATTGTCATTTTCTGAGCTGCGAACGGGCAGAAAGGTGAGAAAATGTCGGATTTTGACCATTTGTGCTGACCTTTGAATTTCAACGTACCTCTCTATAACATGACCCAGCTGTAATTTCAGTGGTCGCATTGGTTTCATTTTTGGTTTGCTTGTAGGGCGCTGGCACCCGAATTCAGTGACCCAGAAAATTTAGAACTGCTCTGAATACTTTAGTCGCAAAGTGAAGATTCACGGGTAAAAAGCCCTAAACTTCTAGATAGGTTCTTTTTCAGCTTTCAGCAGCCCTGGGTGAGTTCTTTAGAGAAATGTGGCTCTTTTTCATGGTGCTATTTTCTATGTCCAGCTACACAACGAGATGAGGATGGTCATTGTCATTTTCTGAGCTGCGAACGGGCAGAAAGGTGAGAAAATGTCGGATTTTGACCATTTGTGCTGACCTTTCAATTTCAACGTACCTCTCTATAACATGACCCAGCTGCAATTTCAGTGGTCGCATTGGTTTCATTTTTGGTGTGCTTGTAGGGCGCTGGCACCCGCATTCAGTGACCCAGAAAATTTGGCACTGCTGTGGATAGTTTAGTCGCAAAGTGAAGATTCACGGGTAAAAAGCACCAAACTTCTAGATAAGTTCTTTTTCAGCTTTCAGCAGCCCTGGGTGAGTTCTTTAGAGAAATGTGGCTCTTTTTCATGGTGCTATTTTCTATGTCCAGCTACACAACGAGATGAGGATGGTCATTGTCATTTTCTGAGCTGCAAACGGGCAGAAAGGTGAGAAAATGTCGGATTTTGACCATTTGTGCTGACCTTTCAATTTCAACGTACCTCTCTATAATATGACCCAGCTGTAATTTCAGTGGTCGCATTGGTTTGATTTTTGGTTTGCTTGTAGGGCGTTGGCACCTGCATTCAGTGACCCAGAAAATTTGGCACTGCTGTGAATAGTTTAGTCGCAAAGTGAAGATTCACGGGTAAAAAGCCCCAAACTTCTAGATAAGTTCTTTTTCAGCTTTCAGCAGCCCTGGGTGAGTTCTTTAGAGAAATGTGGCTCTTTTTCATGGTGCTATTTTCTATGTCCAGCTACACAACGAGATGAGGATGGTCATTGTCATTTTCTGAGCTGCGAACGGGCAGAAAGGTGAGAAAATGTCGGATTTTGACCATTTGTGCTGACCTTTCAATTTCAACGTACCTCTCTATAACATGACCCAGCTGTAATTTCAGTGGTCGCATTGGTTTCATTTTTGGTGTGCTTGTAGGGCGCTGGCACCCGCATTCAGTGACCCAGAAAATTTGGCACTGCTGTGGATAGTTTAGTCGCAAAGTGAAGATTCACGGGTAAAAAGCCCCAAACTTCTAGATAGGTTCTTTTTCAGCTTTCAGCAGCCCTGGGCGAGTTCTTTAGAGAAATGTGGCTCTTTTTCATGGTGCTATTTTCTATGTCCAGCTACACAACGAGATGAGGATGGTCATTGTCATTTTCTCAGCTGCGAACGGGCAGAAAGGTGAGAAAATGTCGGATTTTGACCATTTGTGCTGACCTTTCAATTTCAACGTACCTCTCTATAACATGACCCAGCTGTAATTTCAGTGGTCGCATTGGTTTGATTTTTGGTTTGCTTTTAGGGCGCTGGCACCCGCATGCAGTGACCCAGAAAATTTGGCACTGCTGTGAATAGTTTAGTCGCAAAGTGAAGATTCACGGGTAAAAAGCCCCAAACTTCTAGATAGGTTCTTTTTCAGCTTTCAGCAGCCCTGGGTAAGTTCTTTAGAGAAATGTGGGTCTTTTTCTTCGTGCTCTTGTCTATGTCCAGCTACACAACGAGATGAGGATGGTCATTGTCATTTTCTGAGCTGCGAACGGGCAGAAAGGTGAGAAAATGTCGGATTTTGACCATTTGTGCTGACCTTTCAATTTCAACGTACCTCTCTATAACATGACCCAGCTGTAATTTCAGTGGGCGGATTGGTTTCATTTTTGGTTTGCTTGTAGGGCGCTGGCACCCGCATTCAGTGACCAAGAAAATTTGGCACTGCTGTGGATAGTTTAGTCGCAAAGTGAAGATTCACGGGTAAAAAGCCCCAAACTTCTAGATAGGTTCTTTTTCAGCTTTCAGCAGCCCTGGGTGAGTTCTTTAGAGAAATGTGGCTCTTTTTCATGGTGCTATTTTCTATGTCCAGCTACACAACGAGATGAGGATGGTCATTGTCATTTTCTGAGCTGCCAACAGGCAGAAAGGTGAGAAAATGTCGGATTTTGACCATTTGTGCTGACCTTTCAATTTCAACGTACCTCTCTATAACATGACCCAGCTGCAATTTCAGAGGTCGCATTGGTTTCATTTTTGGTGTGCTTGTAGGGCGCTGGCACCCGCATTCAGTGACCCACAAAATTTGGCACTGCTGTGGATAGTTTAGTCGCAAAGTGAAGATTCACGGGTGAAAAGCCCCAAACTTCTAGATAAGTTCTTTTTCAGCTTTCAGCAGCCCTGGGTGAGTTCTTTAGGAAAATGTTGCTCTTTTTCATGGTGCTATTTTCTATGTCCAGCTACACAACGAGATGAGGATGGTCATTGTCATTTTCTGAGCTGCGAACGGGCAGAAAGGTGAGAAAATGTCGGATTTTGACCATTTGTGCTGACCTTTCAATTTCAACGTACCTCTCTATAACACGACCCAGCTGTAATTTTAGTGGTCGCATTGGTTTCATTTTTGGTTTGCTTGTAGGGCGCTGGCACCCGCATTCAGTGACCCAGAAAATTTGCCACTGCTGTGAATAGTTTAGTCGCAAAGTGAAGATTCACGGGTAAAAAGCCCCAAACTTCAAGATAGGTTCTTTTTCAGCTTTCAGCAGCCCTGGGCGAGTTCTTTAGAGAAATGTGGGTCTTTTTCTTGGTGTTCTTGTCTATGTCCAGCTACACAACGAAGATGAGGATGGTCATTGTCATTTTCTGAGCTGCGAACGGGCAGAAAGGTGAGAAAATGTCGGATTTTGACCATTTGTGCAGACCTTTCAATTTCAACGTACCTCTCTATAACATGACCCAGCTGTAATTTCAGTGGTCGCATTGGTTTCATTTTTGGTTTGCTTGTAGGGCGCTGGCACCCGCATTCAGTGACCCAGAAAATTTGGCACTGCTGTGGATAGTTTAGTCGCAAAGTGAAGATTCACGGGTAAAAAGCCCCAAACTTCTAGATAGGTTCTTTTTCAGCTTTCAGCAGCCCTGGGTAAGTTCTTTAGAGAAATGTGGCTCTTTTTCATGGTGCTATTTTCTATGTCCAGCTACACAACGAGATGAGGATGGTCATTGTCATTTTCTGAGCTGCGAACGGGCAGAAAGGTGAGAAAATGTCGGATTTTGACCATTTGTGCTGACCTTTCAATTTCAACGTACCTCTCTATAACATAACCCAGCTGCAATTTCAGTGGTCGCATTGGTTTAATTTTTGGTTTGCTTGTAGGGCGCTGGCACCCGCATTCAGTGACCCAGAAAATTTGGCACTGCTGTGGATAGTTTAGTCGCAAAGTGAAGATTCACGGGTAAAAAGCCCCAAACTTCTAGATAAGTTCTTTTTCAGCTTTCAGCAGCCCTGGGTGAGTTCTTTAGAGAAATGTGGCTCTTTTTCATGGTGCTATTTTCTATGTCCAGCTACACAACGAGATGAGGATTTTCATTGTCATTTACTGAGCTGCGAACGGGCAGAAAGGTGAGAAAATGTCGGATTTTGACCATTTGTGCTGACCTTTCAATTTCAACGTACCTCTCTATAACATGACCCAGCTGTAATTTCAGTGGTCGCATTGGTTTCATTTTTGGTTTGCTTGTAGGGCGCTGGCACCCGCATTCAGTGACCCACAAAATTTGGCACTGCTGTGGATAGTTTAGTCGCAAAGTGAAGATTCACGGGTGAAAAGCCCCAAACTTTTAGATAAG